AAGAGGTATCCGGGGCTACAGTAGACCAGACAATGTGGAGATTATTACGCTGTAGCTAGCATAGTGAACATTCCAAGAGAAAACGTCTCACCGTCTCTGCTCCACCACGATACAAAACTTTGTTGTATGTCATCTTTTTTGAAACAGATCAGAGCAAAGTGGAGCAAAATCAATGCTCATCTGGTTTAATATCATGTCGTACTTTCGCAATCTATTACTGAACCTAGGCCACCTGTAGTACGGAAAAAATAGTTCATTTATAGCTACACGGAAAATTGTTAATTTTGCTATTTGCTGTATATCAATCGGAAGTACATTCCATTGTCTTACAGTCCAGGGAAAGAAGGTATTTTCCAATTTTTGTGTATGCGCACGAAAAGGATTTATTTGACCTCTATCTTTTGAGCGTAACTTCATATTTAACCCTTGTTGTTGAGGAGTCCTTTGAATAAGAAAGCCTGGAATTAGACCCCGTTTTATTTTGATGAAAAGTAATATTTTATTAATTGCACAAGTGTGTTCAGTTGGGATCCATCCTAGAATTTTCAATACTTTATACCTTGAACTGAGGTGCATAGTACCACTGAGAAATCGCAAAGACCATGGCAGCCGTACCAGAAACTCGAAGTAGAATTATAAGTAGCCCGCTGTCAGATTCGTCGTGAAATTCTGCATATATCGCCTTAGTTTCAACTAATTTGATGCTGCGCACCAAAAGTGCCTAATTTTCTAATGACTTCTGTTGATTTATTTTAGTATTTTAACCACTGCTGTTATATGTTTTTTACCACTGTTACTCATATATACTGATTGATTTTCTCGGAGTATTTAAATCTTCGACAATTATTTTTTGTTATTTTCTTTCAAGGCGAAAGTCGTTTTAAGATTATTTCTTTGCATCGACTGATTCAAAATGGAGACAAATAGAGAAAAAACTTTGTGAAACGTATCGGAATCCAGTAAAAAAAAAACACAGACCTGAACATTTTCTTAACGAGCGTGTGTATCTGTAGTTGCATAAACAGAATAGTACTTTACCAATCAATGATGCAGCGAACTCGGTTATAACTAGCACATGCAAGAATGAGAAAATTTTTGAGTGATCTCAAAAGAAAAATAGATCACAAATATAAACGTGTTATTTCTACGTATTTCATGGTTGTTAACTGACACTAATACACTCATTCATAATGAGATCAAACGTGTTTTCTTAGATCATAGTTTAAATTGTATTCTTTATAAATTCTTGTCGACCTCGTATAAAATGGATTCGTTATGATTGAAAAACACGCTCAGCAAAAGTTATACTGTCGGTTGAAGAATGATCTATCGTCAATGCTCAGTTTAGTCGAGCAAGCGTACAACGTTCGGTCATGAAAATTATTTCATATAGAGATCAATGATCAATATACCATAAATGTGCGTTGATGATTGCATTCCATGTCTAACATTTGACTGTAAAAACCAGGGAACTTGACGGTCGCTGTAGAAAAGTTAAAAAACTTGTTATACACACATTTATAGTAGACTGATCATCGATCCCCGTATGACATAATTTTAATGACCGGATCCTACACGCTTGCTCGACTAAACTGAGCAGGTTTGTTACGGTATTTGTGAAAATCGTCAAGCGATTGAAATCGACTTGAAGCCTCTCGTACGAAGATGTGTAAGATCTACAAGGGGGAAATAGCGGACTCCTGGACTCCCATGGACTCCTGAAGTCCAGGAGTCCACTATTTCCCCCTTGAAGATCTATCAGCATCGAAAGGAAGTCAAGCGAGCTAAGTGATCTGTCGCCAAGGATGCGGCGTTTGAACTCGCTTACCTTTTGAAACAGCAGTTGGTCTCGTTATTCATTCTAAACTATATAGAGAAGCTGATTTTTTGGATTTTTATCGTTAAAAAGATATCAAATAGCTTAAAAACGAGTGCAACTAAGTTGTGAAAAATTATAGAAAATACTAGCTGGTTCAGTTTGTTTTTGTGACTGCTGCGAAGATATATGAAAGATACCGTTCGCGTCTCAATCGAACCTGCAGCTAGAAAAAAGAGCTCTTCTCTTTCTGAACGTGTTTTTGTTCGTTATTCGATCCTGACCGTTTGAACGCTCTCATTTGTTCCAGCCTCCATGGACACCTACTCTTGAAAAGAAATTCAGTTTTTAATAGTACAAAAATACCTGTGAACAATGTCAACAATTCATTTTTTCGCCTTTTTTGCACATGCAGTCTATGATTCTTTTTTCTCTCATTCTCGTCGGCGAATGCTAAAGAAAGCAATCATGAGGAATTTGGCGTCAAACGCACATGTTTCCGTTTTGACATTGACGAACGTATCTTTTTAAAGGGGAGTGAGTATATAGTACTTTTTCAGGGAAGAAAAAAGTGGCATGCCATCATCAAGAAATATTTCTAATCATTTTTTTCCCTGTTATTCACTATAGCACCCTGAGAAATTACGGAAATTCAGTAGGAGTTGTGGTTTCAGATTTTAAACCTATTAAACTCTTCTTCTGGGTACAATTCATTCATTTGAATTATTTAGAAAATCTTACTATAGAGAACCAATCCGATTGTCATCCGACAACATAGGTTCTATCCGAGGGACATTTAAGCATCTGAAAATGTGTGTGGGGGGGGGGGGGGGGCAAAACCCAAACAAGCTATTGGGGTAAAAAGTGCCCGTATAAGTTACACGGGTG